CCTGGAAAGCCGCTGCAGGAGGAGCAGAGGTACAGGGACCACACTGGTTCTGCAGCTCCCTCTTGGCTCCTTCTCCCCATCCTCCTTGGGGGTGGGTTCCTCCTTCCTCCCTCCTCCTCATCTTTTCCCCAGCACCTTCTTTTCCTGCCCCATCACTTCCATCCTCACCTCCTCCAGGCTCCGACCCTCCCTGCACCCCCATCCCTCCCCCCCCAGTACCCCAAATATGTCCCTGTCTCCTACAGAGGGTTCCCTGGCCAAGGCTTTGCCAGTGTTTTGATCTGACTGGTTAAGGGTGTCCCCCTACTCGCTGCTCCGCAGGTCCCAGGGGGTCATCAGGGACCAGCAGGAGCGCAGAGACACCAGAGGAAAAGGGGACATTGGGAGCACTGGTGGGGTCAGCAGTGTCCCCAAGGTAGGTCCTGGCTCCCGTGGAGACTCTATGTTGCCGGTGAGTGAAGGTCTTGGAATTGGGCTGGAGGGGGCTTTATCTTGGGTCCTGGATGAGACCACCCCACGGCAGATGGGGAGGAAGGAGCTGAGCCTTTAGCTGCACCTGCCCCCCCTCATTTCCCCCCTCCCTCCTCCTTTCCCAAGGCTGCAGGATGCTGCCGCACCCCCTGCCCGTGCCCCGGCCCCCCTCGCCAAGGCCATCACCAAGGCTGGGAGCCGGGAGCCAGAGGCACGCGGCTTTCCCTGGCCAAGGTCCCCGCTGCTGGGATCCTTTCTGCAGCCCAGTGTGGCCAGGAGGGATTCAGGAGGGTCAGGCTGAGAAGGTGCAAACCCTCAGGGAGTTATTTCACCCCAGCATCACCTGGTAAGGTGTTTTCCAGCCTTATGGGTGCTAAAAACCCCCCAGGCTCATCCGTATAAAACATTGATCCCTCCATCATTCTTCACGACTTTCCCTCTTCTAAAGACCTGCAAAGACCCATAGGGCTCGGAGCCTGAGGTTGACCCCCCAGCTCTGACACTTCTCCACCCCACGTCCTTAGGAGAGTTGCTTTTCCCCTAAAAGGGTGGTAGGAAGAGCTGGAGAAATGCAGGGGGGTAGTCTGCGGGGTGGAGGGAGAGGTGGGCAGGCAGAGAGAAAGTTTGGAAGGATGGGAGAGAAGAACAGATGGGTGGAGAAGAGAAGGATGAATGGATGAAGGGTGGGTGGCTAGAGAAGAGAAGGATGGAGAAGGATGGATGGACAAGAGAAAAATGAATGGATGGATGGATGGATGGATGGAGGAATGGGGAAGAGAAGGATGGATGAATGCAAGAGGAGGGGAAAACCTGGATGTTTCTTAGCTCCTCCATGGTGGTTCTGACCCTCAAGACAAATGTTCTTAGCTGAGCTCTCAGTGCTAGGGAAAGGTTGGGGTGGCCTCGGGCTGCCAGCGTCTCTGCTCTGGGCTGGCAGGAGGTGAGCAGCTACCGCCTGGCGCTAGAGCGGATGGCAGGGGACATCCTGTCCCTGCGCCAGCACGTCGCCAGCCTGGAGGTGGAGAACGGGCACCTGCGGCGCAGCCTGGCCTTGCAGGAGGAGCTGGGCCACGCTTCCCTTGCCGACGTGGACCTGGACGTCGTGACCCGGGAGGAGCTGCTGGACAGGCTCGGTGCGTGAAGGGGAAGGGGACGGGGAGGGTGGAAATTAGGGGACCCCCCATTTCCCTCGCGCAGCAGAGGGGACCACACCGTCCCCTGGCCAGGTGGTGAGGACGTGGCATGGGCTCTTGCAGCCACCTTCAAGCGCAAGCTAGCAGCCAACATGGTGGAGATGAGGAGGCTGAAGGACCGTGTCCAGCAGCTGCAGAATGAGCTGATCCGGGTACGGATGCCGGCAGGAGCAGGCAGGGCTGTCCAGGGGATGGAGGAGCAGAACAGTGGGGAGGGCATCACTGCACCCCCATAGCTGAGCAAGTCCCTGAGAACCTCAGGACCCCCACCACGAGGTTCTCCCAGCCCTACGAGCAATCCCCCAAAGCTTGAGGCTCAGCATCGAAGTCCCTGGGGGCTTTTCTCCTCCCTCCCCTCCCAGAAAAACGACCGGGAGAAGGAGCTGGTGCTGCTGCAGCGAGCCCCCCAGCAGCAGAAAGCCACACTGCAGAGGTGCCAGGACA